GAGTGGAGTGAGTGGAGTGAGTGAGTGGAGTGAGTGGAGTGAGTGAGTGGAGTGAGTGGAGTGAGTGAGTGGAGTGAGTGAGTGGAGTGAGTGAGTGGAGTGAGTGAGTGAGTGGAGTGAGTAAGTGGAGTGAGTGAGTGGAGTGAGTGGAGTGAGTGAGTGGAGTGAGTGAGTGGAGTGAGTGAGTGGAATGAGTGAGTGGAGTGAGTGAATGGAGTGAGTGGAGTGAGTGGAATGAGTGAGTGTAGTGAGTGAGTGAGTGGAGTGAGTGAGTGGAGTGAGTGAGTGGAGGGAGTGAGTGAGTGGAGTGAGTGAGTGAGTGGAGTGAGTGAGTGGAGTGAGTGAGTGGAGTGAGTGGAGTGAGTGAGTGGAGTGAGTGAATGGAGTGAGTGGGGTGAGTGGAGTGAGTGAGTGGAGTGAGTGAGTGAGTGGAGTGAGTGAGTGGAGTGAGTGAGTGGAGTGGGTGGGGTGAGTGGAGTGAGTGAGTGGAGTGAGTGAGTGGAGTGAGTGAGTGGAGTGAGTGGAGTGAGTGAGTGGAGTGAGTGAATGGAGTGAGTGGAGTGAGTGGAGTGAGTGGAGTGAGTGAGTGGAGTGAGTGAGTGGAGTGAGTGAGTGGAGTGAGTGGAGTGAGTGAGTGGAGTGAGTGAATGGAGTGAGTGGGGTGAGTGGAGTGAGTGAGTGGAGTGAGTGAGTGAGTGGAGTGAGTGGAGTGAGTGGAGTGAGTGAGTGGAGTGAGTGAGTGGAGTGAGTGAGTGGAGTGAGTGGAGTGAGTGAGTGGAGTGAGTGAATGGAGTGAGTGGAGTGAGTGAGTGGAGTGAGTGAGTGGAGTGAGTGAGTGAGTGGAGTGAGTGAGTGGAGTGAGTGGAGTGAGTGAGTGGAGTGAGTGAGTGGAGTGAGTGAGTGGAATGAGTGAGTGGAGTGAGTGAATGGAGTGAGTGGAGTGAGTGGAGTGAGTGAGTGTAGTGAGTGAGTGAGTGGAGTGAGTGAGTGGAGTGAGTGAGTGGAGTGAGTGAGTGGAGGGAGTGAGTGAGTGGAGTGAGTGAGTGGAGTGAGTGAGTGGAGTGAGTGGGGTGAGTGGAGTGAGTGAGTGGAGTGAGTGAGTGGAGTGAGTGGAGTGAGTGAGTGGAGTGAGTGAATGGAGTGAGTGGAGTGAGTGGAGTGAGTGGAGTGAGTGAGTGGAGTGAGTGAGTGGAGTGAGTGAGTGGAGTGAGTGGAGTGAGTGAGTGGAGTGAGTGAATGGAGTGAGTGAGTGGAGTGAGTGAGTGGAGTGAGTGAGTGGAGTGAGTGAGTGGAGTGAGTGAGTGGAGTGAGTGGAGTGAGTGAGTGGAGTGAGTGAATGGAGTGAGTGGAGTGAGTGAGTGGAGTGAGTGAGTGGAGTGAGTGAGTGAGTGGAGTGAGTGAGTGAGTGGAGTGAGTGAGTGGAGTGAGTGAGTGGAGTGAGTGGAGTGAGTGAGTGGAGTGAGTGAGTGGAGTGAGTGAGTGGAATGAGTGAGTGGAGTGAGTGAATGGAGTGAGTGGAGTGAGTGGAGTGAGTGAGTGAGTGAGTGGAGTGAGTGAGTGGAGTGAGTGAGTGGAGTGAGTGGAGGGAGTGAGTGAGTGGAGTGAGTGAGTGGAGTGAGTGAGTGGAGTGAGTGAGTGGAGTGAGTGGAGTGAGTGAATGGAGTGAGTGGGGTGAGTGGAGTGAGTGAGTGGAGTGAGTGAGTGAGTGAGTGGAGTGAGTGAGTGGAGTGAGTGAGTGGAGTGAGTGGGGTGAGTGGAGTGAGTGAGTGGAGTGAGTGAGTGGAGTGAGTGAGTGGGGTGAGTGAGTGGAGTGAGTGGAGTGAGTGAGTGGAGTGAGTGAATGGAGTGAGTGGAGTGAGTGGAGTGAGTGGAGTGAGTGAGTGGAGTGAGTGAGTGGAGTGAGTGAGTGGAGTGAGTGAGTGGAGTGAGTGGAGTGAGTGAGTGGAGTGAGTGAATGGAGTGAGTGGGGTGAGTGGAGTGAGTGAGTGGAGTGAGTGAGTGAGTGGAGTGAGTGAGTGGAGTGAGTGAGTGGAGTGAGTGGAGTGAGTGAGTGGAGTGAGTGAGTGGAGTGAGTGAGTGGAGTGAGTGGAGTGAGTGAGTGGAGTAAGTGAATGGAGTGAGTGGAGTGAGTGAGTGGAGTGAGTGAGTGGAGTGAGTGAGTGGAGTGAGTGAGTGAGTGGAGTGAGTGAGTGGAGTGAGTGAGTGGAGTGAGTGGAGTGAGTGAGTGGAGTGAGTGAGTGGAGTGAGTGAGTGGAATGAGTGAGTGGAGTGAGTGAATGGAGTGAGTGGAGTGAGTGGAGTGAGTGAGTGTAGTGAGTGAGTGAGTGGAGTGAGTGAGTGGAGTGAGTGAGTGGAGTGAGTGAGTGGAGGGAGTGAGTGAGTGGAGTGAGTGAGTGGAGTGAGTGAGTGGAGTGAGTGAGTGGAGTGAGTGGAGTGAGTGGGGTGAGTGGAGTGAGTGAGTGGAGTGAGTGAGTGAGTGGAGTGAGTGAGTGGAGTGAGTGGGGTGAGTGGAGTGAGTGAGTGGAGTGAGTGAGTGGAGTGAGTGAGTGGAGTGAGTGGAGTGAGTGAGTGGAGTGAGTGAATGGAGTGAGTGGAGTGAGTGGAGTGAGTGGAGTGAGTGAGTGGAGTGAGTGAGTGGAGTGAGTGAGTGGAGTGAGTGGAGTGAGTGAGTGGAGTGAGTGAATGGAGTGAGTGGGGTGAGTGGAGTGAGTGAGTGGAGTGAGTGAGTGGAGTGAGTGAGTGGAGTGAGTGAGTGGAGTGAGTGAGTGGAGTGAGTGAGTGGAGTGAGTGGAGTGAGTGAGTGGAGTGAGTGAATGGAGTGAGTGGAGTGAGTGAGTGGAGTGAGTGAGTGGAGTGAGTGAGTGGAGTGAGTGAGTGAGTGGAGTGAGTGAGTGGAGTGAGTGAGTGGAGTGAGTGGAGTGAGTGAGTGGAGTGAGTGAGTGGAGTGAGTGAGTGGAATGAGTGAGTGGAGTGAGTGAATGGAGTGAGTGGAGTGAGTGGAGTGAGTGAGTGAGTGGAGTGAGTGAGTGGAGTGAGTGAGTGGAGTGAGTGAGTGAGTGGAGTGAGTGAGTGGAGTGAGTGAGTGGAGTGAGTGAGTGGAGTGAGTGGAGTGAGTGAATGGAGTGAGTGGGGTGAGTGGAGTGAGTGAGTGGAGTGAGTGAGTGAGTGGAGTGAGTGAGTGGAGTGAGTGAGTGGAGTGAGTGGGGTGAGTGGAGTGAGTGAGTGGAGTGAGTGAGTGCAGTGAGTGAGTGGAGTGAGTGAGTGGAGTGAGTGGAGTGAGTGAGTGGAGTGAGTGAATGGAGTGAGTGGAGTGAGTGGAGTGAGTGGAGTGAGTGAGTGGAGTGAGTGAGTGGAGTGAGTGAGTGGAGTGAGTGGAGTGAGTGAGTGGAGTGAGTGAATGGAGTGAGTGGGGTGAGTGGAGTGAGTGAGTGGAGTGAGTGAGTGAGTGGAGTGAGTGAGTGGAGTGAGTGGAGTGAGTGGAGTGAGTGAGTGGAGTGAGTGAGTGGAGTGAGTGGAGTGAGTGAGTGGAGTGAGTGAATGGAGTGAGTGGAGTGAGTGAGTGGAGTGAGTGAGTGGAGTAAGTGAGTGGAGTGAGTGAGTGAGTGGAGTGAGTGAGTGGAGTGAGTAAGTGGAGTGAGTGGAGTGAGTGAGTGGAGTGAGTGAGTGGAGTGAGTGAGTGGAATGAGTGAGTGGAGTGAGTGAATGGAGTGAGTGGAGTGAGTGGAGTGAGTGAGTGAGTGGAGTGAGTGAGTGGAGTGAGTGAGTGGAGTGAGTGAGTGGAGGGAGTGAGTGAGTGGAGTGAGTGAGTGGAGTGAGTGAGTGGAGTGAGTGAGTGGAGTGAGTGGAGTGAGTGAATGGAGTGAGTGGGGTGAGTGGAGTGAGTGAGTGGAGTGAGTGAGTGAGTGGAGTGAGTGAGTGGAGTGAGTGAGTGGAGTGAGTGGGGTGAGTGGAGTGAGCGAGTGGAGTGAGTGAGTGGAGTGAGTGGAGTGAGTGAGTGGAGTGAGTGAATGGAGTGAGTGGAGTGAGTGGAGTGAGTGGAGTGAGTGAGTGGAGTGAGTGAGTGGAGTGAGTGAGTGGAGTGAGTGGAGTGAGTGAGTGGAGTGAGTGAATGGAGTGAGTGGGGTGAGTGGAGTGAGTGAGTGGAGTGAGTGAGTGAGTGGAGTGAGTGAGTGGAGTGAGTGAGTGGAGTGAGTGGGGTGAGTGGGGTGAGTGGAGTGAGTGAGTGGAGTGAGTGAGTGGAGTGAGTGAGTGGAGTGAGTGGAGTGAGTGGAGTGAGTGAGTGGAGTGAGTGAGTGGAGTGAGTGGGGTGAGTGGAGTGAGTGAGTGGAGTGAGTGAGTGGAGTGAGTGAGTGGAGTGAGTGGAGTGAGTGGAGTGAGTGAGTGGACTGAGTGGAGTGAGTGGAGTGAGTGGAGAGAAATAAGCAGCTGTGAAAGTTTGGGATACCACTACTTGAACAAAAAAACACTAAGATTAAGGCCATCCGTCTAACTCCGTACTACAACAAAACAAACATGACCAAACAAAAAAAAACGTTTTCGAAATCAGCGAGCGTTCGTCATCTTTGAACATATGCTTAGTTATTTCGGTAAAGTCACGTAGAAGGGAAATAATAAAATAATAAAAAATTCAACATAATATGATTCAATTCTCACGACGTTTAAAATGTATTTGTTTATCACAACCTCCATACCCAACCCAGGGTGTAAACGATTGTAGCCTCCCAGCTGCTATCGTACATTCCCTAGCGGCCTCTCTGTTCACGTGGTTCACACGACGAAGGGCCGCTCACCGAAACGTCGACTGTCATGGTTCGATTTCCTTGATTGCAAATTGGTGGGTGGGGGGGGGGCGTGGCTTGCGAAGCAATGGGCGTTGCTTAAGAGTGCGATAGGCGTGGCTATGGGGGGGGGTGGCGTGGTCTGGTGGCGGTGGGCGGGGCCTGATTTGTATCTGGGCGGTGGGCGGGGTCACGGTGAAGGAGGCGGGGCCCCGGGGCAGTGGGGCGGGGCCAAGCGCTGGGTATTGGAAGCGATGAGCAGGATCGGGGCAGTGGATGTGATGGTGATGGTGTGTGTGATGGTCTGTGGTGATGGTGGTGGTGGCGCGCGCGTGTTACGCGTGATGTGACGGCACGGCACGTGAGAGCGTGCAGAGGATTTATAACCCGAGTCACCATTCATCATCATCATCATCACCAAAGGGCATCGTCGTCTTCTGCTGGATTATTGAAGAGATTTTATTAGTCAACGATATATTGTAAACATCATCATCATCATCAACAACATTATCAATACATCATCATCAACACCATGAAAATGTTATCAACATCATCATCACCACCACCAGCATCATCATCATCATCTAAATTACTAAACACAAATATTCACCCTTGATATTTCGTAAACTTTATCATTACCATCATCAAGGTGTCAATTTAATCATCAAGATATCATCAACAACATCATCATCAACTCTATCTACCGATATCACCATCATCATCATCATCACCAGCACCACCATCATCATCACCAGCATCATCATCATCACCGGCACCACCATCATCAGCAGCACCATCATCATCAGCAGGAAAGTGACATCGTTTAGACCGGTGACGAATGAGTACTTCAGCAACACCACCAGCAAACACCGGGCAGAGTCACACTGAGAAGACCCACACTCGTGATGGCAGTGAGGATGGCGATGATGGTGGTGACGGTAGTGAGGATGATGGCCTCTATAACAACGTAAAACCCCCTAGTCCATCGTTTCATTACCCCTCATTCTTACCACTCCTCTTCCCGTATCATCATCCTCCCTCTCCTCCACCTCACTCCTCAATCCCACAACGTCATCATCCTCCTCCTCCTCCACCTCCTCCTCCTCCTCCTCCTCATCATCATCATCACCACCACCACCACCGCCGCTGTACATCACATCGAGTGGCTACCACTCGGACACAATTCGTGATGAGGAGGTGGGAGAAGATAGAACGGTGACTCCAGCCAGCTGAATCAGAGGAGGTGGAGGAGGTGTCAGGAATGGGGATTAAAGAGCAGCAGCTGCTGCTGATGATGATGATGGTGGTGGTCGTGCTGCTGATGATGATGATGGTGGTGGTCGTGCCAGCCAAAGGTAAGCAGTGAATAAACTCTGGTGTGTGTGTGTGCATGCTGTTGTGTGTGTACATCGTGTGCGTACATGCCGCGTGTACATGATGTGTGTGTGTGCATGCTCTGTGTGTAAGCGTGTGCGTAAGTTGTGTGTGTACGTATTGTTGTGTGTGTGTGTGTACATTTGTGTGTGTGTACATGCTGTGCGTAAGCTGTGTGCGTAAAGCTGTGTGTACGTATTATTATTATTATGTGTGAGTACATACTGTGTGTACGTGTTGTGTGTAAGCGTATGTGTAAGCGTGTGTGTGCATATTCTTTCGTGTGTGTACACATGGTGTTTTATATGTGTGTGTACATGTTGCGTGTGTACATGCTGTTGTATGTGTGTACATGCTGTTGTGTGTGTGTGTACGGTAGTACACACCGCCAGTGACGAAGATCTCCCCTAGGTCGACTCAGCCTAAGAAAAGTCACCTGGTTTAGCGGTGTCTAGCAAACATCGCCACCGGGGAGACAAAGGCGGTCGGGCGTGGTGCTGTCCGCTCGGGCTGAACGATTAATCGATTTCAAATCGAAATCGCAATTTGAAACAACGCTATTAGCAAATGGCAAAGGCTGCGATTTTTTTTAGCGATTTTGAAAAGTCCCTATTACTTTCTTATAGGGTTTGTTAAATTTGTTTACTATTATTATAACTTAATTTATTTAACTAAACAATTGTTCTATGTTTGATTGTCCTATGTAAAATGACATTTGAAAAAAAATACACGTTGGAAGCAATTCATATCATGTAAGTTCTCTTATATATAGAGAGCAGTTCACATTGTGATGGTATCATTGTGGTAATGCTCCATCCCGTGTTTTAAATCTAGTACACAGTGAATATTGAAACTGAAGCTCAACTCGAATCGCAAATCAAATCGCAATCGCTGTCAGAAAAAAATCGCAATGAGAGATTTCCCCCCAGATCCGCATTCTGTGGCTCTATCGGTAAAAGTCGCTGATGTCACGGACGCTTGTGTTGAGCCCGAAACGTCGTGATTTACGTGATTTCATACCCATGTGACGACTTTACCTAAAAAAGAGCCGAGGAGGTGAGGATTTCAGTAGTCACGAAAGCTTCAAATCGACAATAAAATAATAAATAAATTATTCCGATCGTCTCGGTTATTTCGGTAAAGTCACGTAGAAGGGAAACAATAAAATAATAAAAATATAAAACAATACAATCCTCATGACTTTTTCAAAATTTCTTGTTGTGGTTTTCACACCTGACGATGACTGCTTGTGTTGCAGTCGAAACGTCGTGAGAATTTTATTGTTTTATATTTTTATTATTTTATTGTTTCCCTCCTACGTGGTGACTTTACCGAAAGAACCAAGAATTAAAACAAATTGTTATTACATTAATTTCTCTCTATCCAAGTGACTTAGATAGAAATGCCAGGATGAGAACTTAAAAGATATGAATTGCTTCCAACATGTATTTATTTTAAACATTTCATTTAAATAGAACAATCAAACGTAGACCAATTGTTTAAGTTAAATAAAGTTATCATATAGAAGGGAAATTATACAATAATAAAAATAAAACATAATAATATATTATTGTTTTATTTTTCTATTTTTTATTTTATTATTTCCCTTCTACGTGACTTTACCGAAAGAATCAAGAAGATGAATCCCTGCAGTCACGAAAGCTTTAAATCGGAATATAAAGTTATCATAATTAACAAATTAAACAATTCCTATAAGGAAGTATTAGCGACTTTTCAAATCGGCAACAAAAAATCGCAGCCTTTGCCATTTGCTAATCGCGTTGTTTCAAATTGCGATTAATCGATTTGAAATCGATTTGAAATCGATTAATCGTTCAGCCCGAGTGGACAGCACCACGCATCCCTCCTGTCCACCGACCCCCTCCTGCCGTGCTACAGCACTTGTCGCCAACAGGCTGTTGAGGCTATACGGGGGATCTTTGTCTCTTGCTGTGCCTTCACGGGGCCTGTCCATGCGCGGATAAGCAAACGTTAATTGTGATCTTTCACTGTCATCTGTCATCTGAGATGACTGCTACCCAAGTGTTGGCATTGTGTGTACACACAAACACCTGTCAACAACAACAGCAACAACAAACACCTCGTGTGTGTGTGTCTGTGTATAGCCTAGAAAATAAGTAAAGACATCACAGGCGACGTTTCGCGACCAACGGCCCTTCTCCAGGGCACAGGGAGATCGAGGCGGGCAGTCGGAGCGACGGAGTGGATTGATAAAGAGTTGGGGCGATACACTTGGGTCACAGATAGAGAAGAAAAACAACAACAACAACAACAACAGTTGATTTGTAAACAACCGACAATCTGTGCGCTCTCTGATGTTTTTTTTTTTAAACCCGCTGGGGCGAGTGAGTGAAAGAATGAGTGAGTGAATGAGTGAAGGGAATGAACGAGTGAGGTGATGGTCGAGCTGAGCGAGCCACGAGTTGATTTTGTGGAGCCCAGGATGGGCGGTAGAGTGGAGTGTCATTTGCAAGAATGAAAGTGGGTGAATGAGTGAAAGCGGGTGAATGAGTGAAAGCGGGTGAATGAGTGAAAGCAGGTGAATGAGTGAAAGCAGGTGAATGAGTGAAAGCTGGTGAATGAGTGAAAGCGGGTGAATGAGTGAAAGCGGGTGAATGAGTGAAAGCGGGTGGATGAGTGAAAGCGGGTGAATGAGTGAAAGCGGGTGAATGAGTGAAAGCTGGTGAATGAGTGAAAGCGGGTGAATGAGTGAAAGCGGGTGAATGAGTGAAAGTGGGTGAATGAGTGAAAGCTAGTGAATGAGTGAAAGCGTGTGAATGAGTGAAAGCGGGTGAATGAGTGAAAGCGGGTGAATGAGTGAAAGCGGGTGAATGAGTGAAAGTGGGTGAATGAGTGAAAGCTAGTGAATGAGTGAAAGCTAGTGAATGAGTGAAAGCGTGTGAATGAGTGAAAGCGGGTGAATGAGTGAAAGCGGGTGAATGAGTGAAAGCAGGTGAATGAGTGAAAGCGGGTGAATGAGTGAAAGCGGGTGAATGAGTGAAAGCGGGTGAATGAGTGAAAGCGTGTGAATGAGTGAAAGCGGGTGAATGAGTGAAAGCTGGTGAATGAGTGAAAGCGGGTGAATGAGTGTAAGCGGGTGGAATGAGTGAAAGCTGGTGAATGAGTGAAAGCGGGTGAATGAGTGAAAGCGGGTGAATGAGTGAAAGCGGGTGAATGAGTGAAAAGCGGGTGGAATGAGTGAAAGCGGGTGAATGAGTGAAAGCGGGTGAATGAGTGAAAGCGGGTGAATGAGTGAAAGCGGGTGAATGACTAAAAGCGGGTGAATGAGTGAAAGCGGTTGAATGAGTGAAAGCGGGTGGAATGAGTGAAAGCGGATGAATGAGTGAAAGCGGGTGAATGAATGAAAGCGGGTGGAATGAGTGAAAGCGGATGAATGAGTGAAAGCGGGTGAATGAGTGAAAGCGGGTGAATGAGTGACACTGGTCATACCCCCCCCCCCCCATCCACCCCTAGGCTCCCGGCTGTGCCAGGATAACTCCGATGAATGACCTAACGATGGAGTGACGCTGACCATACTTCCCCACCCTGGTCCCCTATCCCCCCCCCCCCCACTCACCACCACCCCCCCACCCCTCCCAAACCCCTCCCCCACCCCCGGTCCCATCTCGCTCCCCCCCCACAACACCCCCCCCCCCCACCACCTCCCTCCCCCACTCCTCCCAACCCCCCACTACCTCCCAGGCTTGCGCCAGGAGGACTCTGTCGAATGACTGAATGAACGACACTGACCGTACCTCCACCGCCCCCGTGTCCCATCTCGCTCCCCCCCCCACCACCACCCCCCCCCCACCACCACCCCCCCCACCACCACCCCCCCACCACCACCCCCCCACCAGGCTCCCGCCTGCGCCAGGAGGACTCCCCGCCTCGGATCGCCGAGCATCCCTCCGACCTGATCGTGTCTCGGGGCGAGCCGGCGACCCTCAACTGCAAGGCGGAGGGGCGTCCCCCTCCCAGCGTCGAGTGGTACAAGGACGGCGAGCGCGTGGACACCGCCGACCTTGGCGGTGGTGGCGCCGGTGGTGGCGCCGGTGGTGGCGCCGGTGGCGGCGGTGGCGGCGGCAACCGGATGCTGTTGCCCGACGGTTCGCTCTTCTTCCTGTTCCTGCGCAACCGGCCGGACGAGGGGACGTACGCGTGCGTGGCGCGCAACTACCTGGGGGAGGCCGTGAGCCGGAACGCCTCGCTCGCTATCGCCTGTGAGTTACCCCACCATCCACCCACCACCCACCCAACACCCACCCACCACCCACCCAACACCACCACCACCCACCCACCCACCACCCACCCACCACCACCCACCCACCCACCACCACCACCACCCACCCACCACCACCACCCACCCACCACCACCCACCCACCACCACCACCACCACCCACCCACCACCACCCACCACCACCACCACCACCCACCACCACCACCACCACTCTCTCCCGTTCCTCCTCACTCTCTCTCTTACTCACTCACCCCCCCCACCCCTCACCCTGCCCCCCCCCACTCACCCCCCCACCCCCCCCGCCCCCCCCATTATGACTCACCACAACCGACCGACCTATCGGACGGATGCCCACGTGGTTCTACAAACATTACAAAGCGTGCTACCCAGATGTGTTTAGACGGATGCTGTTGTTTGTTGTGTGAAAAGTGCCTCCCCCACTACCCCCACCCCCAATCCCCGCCCCCCCCCCAATCCCCGCCCCCCCATTATGACTCACCACAACCGACCGACCTATCAGACGGATGCCCACGTGGTTCTACAAACATTACAAAGCGTGCTACCCAGATGTGTTTAGACGGATGCTGTTGGTTGTTGTGTGAAAAGTGCCTCCCCCACTACCCCCACCCACCCCCAATCCCCGCCCCCCCCCCCAATCCCCGCCCCCCCATTATGACTCACCACAACCGCCCGACCTATCGGACGGATTTCCACGTGTGGAGGTTCGTTTTGTTCAAAACGTTGCAACAAAACTGCCCGTACCCCGTTGTGTTAAAGTGCTGCCCCCCCCCCCCCTCGCCCGCCTCTCTACCTATCGCGCCCCCCCCCCCCTCCACTTCTACCACGCAGCCCCCCCAGCTCCCCACCCCCTTGCCCCCCACCCCCCCCCGTCACGACTGCCATGTCCACGTTCCTACTCCGTTGCGTTTCCTCCGTGTCGGCTGCCACGCCTCTGCGGGAAGTTTTTGGAGCCGCTCCCCGGAGGAAAAAAAATCGACGGCGATTCGCCGCTTCAGCGTCCGACAGCGGCCCCGGGGGGGGGGGGGGGGGGCTCCCCTAGGTCGACTCGGCCTCGAATGCTCTAAACCCGATACGGTGTCACTTGAAGATGTTTTTCTCTTTATTTCGCGTTTTCTTGTTTGTTGTTGTTGTTGTTGTGGTTGCACCCGATTCAAGAGCCGAATGGCTCACAGGGCTATACCAAAATAAACTGAAGTGAACTGACGTGCCACCTTCCTCGTCTGAGCCAAGGTGCCTGGCCTTCATCGGCGCCGCTTATCGCCAGCGGCGCTTGTCTTAATAGGCTGTTGAGGCTTTACACGGGGATCTTTGTCAGCCTCCCGATAGGCCCGCGGGTCGCAATTCGTGCGCGCGATGAGAGTTATCTCGCGAGCTTCATGTTGGCCGCATCGAAGTCATTGACTCAGTACGGCTGACATTCTGGTTTCAACTTTGAAGCCCTGGGTCTGTGTGTGTGTCTCTCTCTGCTATAGGTTCGTAATGGTCAGGTCACAGACTCTGAACCAGCATGGTTGAGGTCCTGAGTTCAAGCCCTGAGTCTGTGTGTGTCTCTCTCTCTATCATCGGTTCGTAATGTTCAGGTCACAGACTCTGAACCAGCATGGTTGAGGTCCGGAGTTCAAGCCCTGGGTCTGTGTGTGTCTCTCTCTGTCATGGGTTCGTGATGGCCAGGTCACGGACTCTGAACCAGCATGGTTGAGGTCCTGAGTTCAAGCCCTGGGTCTGTGTGTGTCTCTCTCTGTCATGGGTTCGTGAAGGCCAGGTCACGGACTCTGAACCAGAATGGTTGAGGTCCGGAGTTCGAGCCCTGGGTCTGTGTGTGTGTTTCTCTCTCTCTCTCTCTCTCTGTCATGGGTTCGTATTGGCCAGGTCACGGACTCTGAACCAGCAAGGTTGAGGTCCTGAGTTCAAGCCCTGGGTCTGTGTGTGTGTGTCTCCCTCTCTGTCATGGGTTCGTAATGTTCAGGTCACAGACTCTGAACCAGCATGGTTGAGGTCCTGAGTTCAAGCCCTGGGTCTGTGTGTCTCTCTCTATCATCGGTTCGTAATGTTCAGGTCACAGACTCTGAACCAGCATGGTTGAGGTCCGGAGTTCAAGCCCTGGGTCTGTGTGTGTCTCTCTCTGTCATGGGTTCGTGATGGCCAGGTCACAGACTCTGAACCAGCATGGTTGAGGTCCTGAGTTCAAGCCCTGGGTCTGGGTGTCTCTGTTTCTCTCTCTCTTTCTCTCTTTGTGTCTCTTTGTCGATGGTTCACAATGGCCACGTCAGATCCAGCAGCGCCATTGCGGGGGATGCGCCTTTAGCTCTCGCCTTGACCTTCGGCGTACTTCTGTGGCATAGAACTTTGGTTTTTAAACATTTGAGAAGGAAGACAATAATGTCCAACCGCCCCGCTCACCCGCTCGCTCGCTCACTCACGCACTAACGCACTCACCCACTCGTCCACTCGCCCGCTCACCCGTTCACTGGCGGGCTCGCCTACTTGGCCACTCGCCCGCTTGTCCACCCGCTCGCTCGCCCGCCCACCCACCCACTCGCTCGTCCGTCCATCCGCCCGCTCGCTCATCCGCCCGCTCGCTCATCCACAGCTCCGCTCGGCCACTCGCCCGCTCGTCCACCCGCTCGCTCGCCCACCCACTCGCTCGTCCGTCCATCCGCCCCGCTCATCCACTGCTCCGCGCGGCCACTCGCCCGCTTGTCCACCCGCCCGCTCGCTCGCTCGTCCATCCGCCCGCTCATCCACCCGCTCGCTCATCCACTCGCCCGCCCGCCCGCCCGCTCGCTCGCTCGCTCGCCCGTCCGTCTCGGGCCGTGGCGGTGCAGCGGCGTCGTTGATTAATGAAGTGGGCGTCCGCTCGCGGAGGTGCAGGCGAGTGCACAGATCATTACGTCTCGCAGATGGCGTCGTCAAAACCTCGTTAAGGCGACCGCGCCACGTCGGCTTAACCCAGCCCCGTGCCAAGGAACGGGGATATTTTTTTTTAACCTTCCACCACCACCACCACCAACACCACCACCAGCACCACTACCAGCACCACCACCACCACCACCGATTCTACCGCCGCCTCCACCACCTCCGCCTCCAGCACTACCACCACCACCACCTCCGCCTCCAGCACCACCACCACTACCAGCACCACTACCAGCACCACTACCAGCACCACCAACATCACCACCAGCACCACTACCAGCACCAGCACCACCACCAACACCAGCACCACCACCACAACCACCACCGCCACCACCACCACCATCACCACCACCACCATCACCACCACCACCATCACCACCACCACCAACACCACCACCAACACCACCACCACCATCACCACCACCACCAACACCACCTCCACCACCGCCCAAGTCTCCCGCTGTTGCGTGGCGGTGGCTGCCCCGTAGGCAAAAGAGGCGCAGCCCTGCAACTGCCGTCTCGAGGCCACCCTGCTGCTGCTGATGATGCTGCTGCTGATGCTGCTGCTACTGCTGATGATGCTGCTGCTGATGATGCTGCTGCTGATGCTGCTGCTACTGCTGATGCTGCTGCTGATGATGATGATGATGCTGCTGCTGCTGCTACTGCAGATGCTGCTACTGCTGATGATGCTGCTGCTGCTACTGCTGCTGCTACTGCTGATGATGATGCTGCTGCTGATGATGCTGCTGATGATGATGCTGCTGCTGCTGCTGATGCTGCTGCTGATGATGCTGCTGCTGATGATGCTACTGCTGATGATGCTGCTACTGCTGATGATGCTGCTGCTGATGATGCTGCTACTGCTGATGCTGCTGCTACTGCTGATGCTACTGATGATGATGCTACTGATGATGATGCTGATGATGATGCTTGCGGTATAACACCACAGCTACCGCTCACGTCTCCCCCCCCCCCTCCCCCTTCCCTCCCCCTCCTCCCCCCCTCCATCCTCCTCCCCACTCCTCCCTCCCCTCCCCCTCCCTCCCTCCCCTCCTCCTCCTCCTCCCTCTCCTCCTTCCTCTTCCCTCCCTCCTCCCTCCCCTCCTCCCCTCCTCCCCCCCTCCCTCCCTCCCCTCCTCCTCCCTCCCCTCCTCCCCCCTCCCCCCCTCCTCCTCCCTCCCTCCCTCCCTCCCCTCCTCCTCCCCCCCTCTGTGCCAGAGGGAGTTCTAAAGCAGTGGATGATCCGGAGAGAGGCGGGTGGGTGGGGGTTGGGGGGGATATGGGATGGAGGGGGGGGCAGGGGGGGGTTCAGTCGCCCCACCCCCCACCACTCACCCACCCCGCATCCACTCCCCCCTCTTGAGACCCCTAAAATCGGAATTTTATTTTTTTGCCGGAGGAAAAAAAACCATCGAGTATTTGCGTTGTTAGCGTAGGGAGCGTTGGGGGTCCCTGTGTCTAACCTCTTTCTCTCTCCCTGTGTCTCTCCCTGTGTCTAACCTCTTTCTCTCCCCCCACTCTCTCCCGTCTCATCTCTCTCCCCACTCTCCCCACTCTCCCCACTCTCTCCCTGTGTCTCCCCACTCTCCCCACTCTCTCCCTGTGTCTCCCCACTCTCCCCACTCTCTCCCTGTGTCTCTCCACTCTCCCCACTCTCTCCACTCTCTCCCTGTGTCTCTCCCTGTCTCATCTCTCTCCCCACTCTCCCCACTCTCCCCACTCTCTCCACTCTCTCCCTGTGTCTCTCCACTCTCCCCACTCTCCCCACTCTCTCCACTCTCTCCCTGTCTCTTCCTGTGTCTCCCCACTCTCCCCACTATCTCCACTCTCTCCCTGTGTCTCTCCCTGTGTCTCTCCACTCTCCCCACTATCTCCCTGTCTCTCCACTCTCCTCACTCTCCCCACTCTCTCCCTGTCTCTCCACTCTCCCCACTCTCCCCACTCTCTCCCTGTGTCTCTCCACTCTCCCCACTCTCTCCCTGTGTCTCTCCACTTTCCCCACTCTCCCCACTCTCCCTACTCTCTCCCTGTGTCTCTCCCTGTGTCTCTCCACTCTTCCCACTCTCTCCCTGTGTCTTTCCACTCTCCCCACTCTCCCCACTCTCTCCCTGTCTCTCCCTGTGTCTCCCCACTCTCCCCACTATCTCCCTGTGTCTCTCCACTCTCCCCACTCTCTCCCTGTCTCTCCCTGTGTCTCTCCACTCTCCCCACTCTCTCCCTGTGTCTCCCCACTCTCCCCACTCTCCCCACCCTCTCCACTCTCTCCTCTCTCTTGAAAATGCGCAGCAAATCCCCGTCTCTCTCCTCCCCCTCTCCCCTCCCCTCCTCCCACACCTCCACATCCACCGCGTGATTTATCGCGGGCCAATAATTTCGGAATCGTCTCCTCGCCTCCCGAGGCCTCCTCATTCTGAATCGTTCCGCGCAGATCCCAAGCCCCCCCCCCCCCACTATACCCCCCCACTACCCCCCCTCCCCTGCTAGCCCCTCCCCCACCAGCGCCCCCCCCCTCCACATCAGCCCCCCCTCCCCCCCACCACCACATCCCGCATCGACCGAGGCGAATGAGTGAGTGAGTGCTGAACGATCACCGTCGGGGTTGTCGGAGCAGTGGCGATAGTGGTGGTGGTGGGGGGGTGTGAGTTGTTTTACTCCGATGTGGTTTTACCTGCGTGTGTGTGTGTGCGTGCCAGTGTGTGTGTGTGTGTCAGTGTGTGTGTGTGTCAGTGTGTGTGTGTCAGTATGTGTGTGTGTCAGTGCGTGTGTGTGTGTCAGTGTGTGTGTGCGTGCCAGTGTGTAAGTGTGTGTGTGTCAGTGCGTGTGTGTGTATCAGTGCGTGTGTCAGTGTGTGTGTGTGTGTGTCAGTGTGTGTGTGTCAGTATGTGTGTGTGTCAGTATGTGTGTCAGTGTGTGTGTGTGTGTCAGTATGTGTGTGTGTGTGTCAGTGTGTGTGTGTGTCAGTATGTGTGTGTGTGTCAGTGTGTGTGTGTGTCAGTGCGTGTGTGTCAGTGTGTGTGTGTGTCAGTGCGTGTGTGTGTCAGTGCGTGTGTGTCAGTGTGTGTGTGTGTGTCAGTGTGTGTGTGTCAGTGTGTGTGTGTCAGTATGTGTGTGTGTCAGTGTGTGTGTGTGTCAGTATGTGTGTGTGTGTCAGTGTGTGTGTGTCAGTGCGTGTGTGTCAGTATGTGTGTGTGTGTCAGTGCGTGTGTGTGTATCAGTGTGTGTGTGTGCCAGTGCGTGTGTGTGCCAGTGCGTGTGTGTGTCAGTGCGTTTGTGTGTGTGTCAGTGCATGTATGTGTGTGTCAGTGTGTGTGTCAGTATGTGTGTGTGTGTGTGCCAGTACGTGTGTGTCAGTGCGTGTGTGTGTCAGTGCGTGTGTGTGTGTGTGTCAGTGCGTGTGTGTGCCAGTGTGTGTGCCAGTGCGTGTGTGTGTCAGTGTGTGTGTGTGTGCCAGTGCGTGTGTGTGTGTGTCAGTGTGTGTGTGTGTGTGACAGTGTGTGTGTGTATGTGACAGTGCGTGTGTGACAGTGCGTGTGTGTGTGTGACAGTGTGTTTGTGTGACAGTGG